AACTGCAGGGACTTGAGGACTACCTATATTGGAACCGGGATTGCCATCACTAAGCAATGTGGTCATAAAGGGCGATGTCACGTGACTGCAGCACTTAGCGACAGCAATCCAGGCAGTGCCAGTTGTTCTACCCCAAGACGTGCAGATTAAGTGGGAAGCGGAGGGAGTCCCAGGTAAGGAGCATCGGGGCTGTGGGAGGGAGGCCTGGTGCAGGCTATGCATGAGGTGGGGGAGTGGATGCTTAGTGTGGTGCAAGCTCAGAAAGGCTGGGGAATGAGGGCATGGTGTGTGTGTGGTTGCAGGGAGGCTGGGGAAAAGGTGCGGGGTGCAGGTGCATGAGCGCAGGGAGGCCAAGGAAAGAGGGTAAAGGGTACATGCAATTTCAGGAAGGCCATAGAAAGAGGGTAAAGGGTATGTACCTGCGTGGATATGATCACAGCTGTGGAAAGGGCACAAGGTGTGTGCGTACATGTGTGAAAGTGCAGGGAGGCCAGGGAAAGAGGGTACAGGGTGTGCGAGCGAAGAGGGGAAGGCAGTAGGGAGGAGACTTGCCCTAGCAACTTGTGACCTTCCTTGTCAGCTTCCCATTGACTTTGTTTGTGGGAAGCCAGTAGGGAAGGTGCAAATGGTGATCATGTGACCATGGGATTCTGCAACCGGTCGTAAGTGTGAGCTGGTTGCCAGGCACTCGAATTTTGTTCAGGTGATTACGGGGCACTGCAACAGCCAGAACTTCAAGGACCGGTCATAAGTCTTAGCTCAGCACCATTGTAACTTCGAATGGTTGCTGAACAAATGGTTGTAACTCGACTACCTGTAGCTGGTTGATTTCTAATGGCAGTCAGTGGGAACTCTTAACTCTAATAATCTTGCCTCTGATTCAGTCCTAGGCAATTTGGATTGACTGAGGTAAATCAGTCTGTTGACCAAATTGCAATATCAGAGTCCACATAAATCTTATGCCCAGTGTATCTGGGTATTATGCAAGAATGTTAGAGATAACTGTAAATCCAGCATAATTTAGGCCCCTTCCACTTATTTTTTTAAAGCCATTATAATCTTTCCCTTATTGTTTCACAATGGAACCCATGTTGAATTCACAACATAAAATATACTGGCCTATTATATTTTTTGTTTGGGCTAACTCATAAGAAAATGCAACCAGACAAAGGTCCTGCAAGAAACTTATTTATTGGTTTATCACATTTTTAACCATTTTCCCAAGGAATTCAAGGTATTATATATAGTTCTTTCCTTTTATTCCCATAACAACCCTATGAAGTAAGTTTGATTAAGAAAATGTGAGTGACACTACTGTCAGCCAGTGGTCTTCATGGCAAGATGAGTATTTGAACAGGCTAAGCAAGATGCATAAACGTCATATTGCCTACAATTTAAAGGAAGAGTACTGAGTGGCAGAACACAGGGTTTCCAAACACAAGGTCCTCAACTCAGTTCCTGATATCTTTAATGTAGAAAGTGTCAGGTGACAACTGACACTGCAGAAAACTACTGTTGGTCAGACTAAATAATACTGCACTGAATGGGTAGATAGTCTGACCTGATATAGAACAGCTTCCTTTTGGGAAATAGGGTAATTAGCATAGGGCCTGGTTACTTGAGGGACCGCCTATCTCCCATAACATCTGCCTGGCCAATTCTGTCCAGCAGGTTTGGTGTGTTCCAGGTTCCTTTGATTACACAGTGTCATTTCTCAGGACCCTGGAAGTGTGCCTTCTCTGGAGCAGCACCTGCCCTCTGAAATGAGATTCCCCCTGAGATCTGGGGGGGGGCACCTCTCCTGTTGCTTAGAAGAGCCATGAAGACCTAGCTTTTCACCCAGGCCTTTGGCAAGGAAGAGTGAGACCTCTCACTTCATCACACTTGCCATCTTTTTTTCTTCATTTTTTATGTTTAATTGTAATTTGTTTGATTGTTGAGAGTTGGGCAGCATACAAGTTTTAATTTTTTTATTATTATTAATTACATGATTATATTCAACCACATGCATCAAGCCTTGTTTTTCTCGAAAAAACAGATAATGTATCACTTCCAAACTTAATATGTTTGCTCACACAAATCTAGCAAAAGGGAACTTTAAGCATCAAAACTATTCTGTGACTCACCTTTAACAAGATCATTTTTAGCAATACTGTAGTGTCATAGGCCTGATCTGTCTCCATACTGATTCTTTCAACTGCTCAGTTTCTAGTGTGGATAAAAGACAGTGGTGAGGTGGAGATTTTAAAAAGCCTTCTCCTTTATCAACAGCTCAGTTTAGATTGTTCTCCTGCTCTCAAGCTACCAGGCTTCTGTTGCTTAAAAAAAAAAGAAAGCAATTCCAAACATGGGATTTGGAAAGATGGCTCATGCCATGTCTAATTTGTCCTTAGGTTTTGTCTAAACTAGGCTAAACCATCCTAGTACATTATTCTAAGTGTTCAAAATATTTAACATACGTATTTTTACAGTATGTGTTTGAAATACATTGATACTGATACTGCATTAACTGTATACTATAGACCAGTGTTTCTCAACCTTGGCAGCTTGAAGATGTGTGGACTTCAACTCCCAGAATTCCCCCGCCAGCAAGGCTGGCTGGGGGATTTTGGGAGGTGAAGTCCACACATCTTTAAGCTGCCAAGGGTGAGAAACAATGGTCTATAGTATACAGTTAATGCAGTATCAGTATCAATGTATTTCAAACACATACTGTAAAAATACGTATGTTAAATATTTTGAACACTTAGAATAATGTACTAGGATGGTTTAGCCTAGTTTAGACAAAACCTAAGGACAAATTAGACATGGCATGAGCCA